TGTTGCACTTTCATATTAACATGATCGTTTGTTCATTTAGTAGGAGCATGAAAATAGTGTACCCTAAAGTAGCAACTTTGCACACTCACTGAGGTCCACCCATGTCAATTTCATTGCTTTTAAACAACTGTGTTCTTGACTGTTCTTCTAAGTTTGACAATCCTGACCACTTCTTTCCTCAATATCCAGGTCAACGTTTGCTGAAAAGGGTAGCGACTGCAAAGTGAATGCTGATGTGGAGAGGGTGCTGAAGGAATTCCATGGGTCCAAGAAACCAATTGGGTGAGTGCATTTAAGGCCACTCCATCCACACAGGTTAGACTGCACTTTAGCTGCATCACGTTGTCTGCATTCTTTTGCTTATGTTTGACATCGGCACGTGTGTGTGTGTGGAAATCAGTGATTCACTACAAACTCAGCAAAGTGAGTTTTATTCCTGGCTACAGCTTACGTCAGTGACAATTCATCCCAAGACTGGTTATGGACCTCTGCTAGGTCAACTCAACCTTGCACGAGTACCTGGTGTGGCGTATAAACATCAACACTGAGGAGACAAAGGCTGACCTGGGCGTGGTGCTATCCACAATATTTCCGGCCCTAATCGGTGTTTGCCCACAGCACTTGCCATAAGTCTGTTGAAGGCTACGCGTGGCATCTTTGTTCATCCACCAGGCTCTGCTGCATTGCTCCAGTGCTGGCGGCGCGCGTGCTGCCTGGTGTGGAGGTGAGCGTTGGGCAGGAGAGCGACCAGGGTGGGAAGTGGCCCCACCACGCTGCTGCCGGTGCAGTCAAGGCCATGGGGGCGAAGCATGTGGAAAAAAATGTCACCATATCCTTTTGTTTATTGCAACGCCAAAAAAATGCTATGTCTATTCACTGACAGCCATATATTTTCCTCTTCAGTACCGAGGTGTGCATCTACGTAACGGGAATATTTTTCTTTTATTTTTGCTGCCTTTCGCCAATTCACCCAGAATGCACTTAACCTTGTCAGGCGTTGGAAGCTAAGCAGACTTTGAGCTTGGATGCGTGAACCATAATGCACATCAGGTAATCATTGGCTGTTGGGACTGTGGTGGGCAGCATAGGGAAGTGCAGAAAAATACACCGTTGTACTGCTGCACTCATACATCTGCTCCTTGCCCTCCCCACAATCCACGCTGACCAGCATGGTCATGTATGTTTAAATAACACCCACAACCTGCATGGAGTGAAGAGGGCCTCATCCAGCAGTGAATTGACAGCGCTGTTCATGCACGTGGCCGTTGGAGCTTCTTGGCTTCAATTGTGGCATTGATTTTTACGTACCAAGGTATTTGTAACCCAGGTCTTGCCTTACAAGAGAAACATCTGCCCCAGTGGGCGCTCGCCTTATCATAAGCAAAGTGAATGCATGTACGTGTGAATTTTTTTACCTTGACTTGCCATCCTCACGAGTGCCACGTGGACACCAAGAACAAGGTGGTGACAACGCCGGCGTTCATGTGCGAGACCGACTACCATCACATCTTCGATGGCATCGGGGCCATGGTGCTGGCAGTGCTGAACCTTGCCAAGAAGTGAAATCTGTCGTAGGCATCGATTCCAAAAGTATTGTTGTGAAACGTAGCTTGACATTTTGTAGAAGCGTGGAGTATGATCTGTACTCCAGCATTGGATGTTTTTGCCGGGGTTTTTTTTGCACTACAGCATACTAAGGCTGGATAATGTTGCAAATTGAAAGTTCATTGTTCGTCAACATATCCTGTTTTGCTCCAGCACTGGTTAATGGATATCGAGTGTGGTTGTCAAAACACTTGAGAAACTGAAAAAAGAGTGGAAGAATGATAAACTACGAGCCCGGCCATTCAGTCTTCCAGTCACTGTTGGCGGTGGGTCGAGTGCATTCTTATCTATTTTACAGGCTATATGATACCATGGATGTGATGCCACACAGGGCTCTTTAATGACAGACTGCAAGCTGAAATTAAATGAACCATGGGAAGCAAGAGTTTGAGATCCATAGCATATGTCATTAGACGGAATTGATCATTTTTATCCACATTTGCTATTAGATACGTCAGCCAGTTAAATAATGTTCCAAATGATCAGCCGTCTTTATGGTGACTGGTAACAACTAAAGACGTAGCATTTTTCCAAGTGCATTTGCATTACTATAAGCACATGAGCCTATAATAATTGTACCATTAAGTATATTTTACATGTTGCTCCAGATATATAAATGTATTCTGCATCCAGATGTTTAATCTGGAAATGCAGTATTTGAATTTTTAAAAAGTGAATTTTACTTAAAAGTTATAATATTACAAATGTACTATGGACATTTTATAATGTTAATTTGTTTTACTAAATACATCAAACTGAAATATGAAAAAATTTTGATGCAATATACACCAATACTAAAATGTTATAGTTACACGTGTTAAACTTGCTGTGAATGTATTTTGAATTATATAATGTATATAATAAAAGCAAGCAGTTGCACTGTAAATGGCTTGTATTAATTTTTGCATGACATTACAGATGAGAGCAGGGCATAACGCTTTTGAAATATTTAAACGTTCTCCAGTAACGGTCCTGTAGTGAGTCCTGGTTATTGATTTACAAACTTAGATGGTAGCAAGTTAAAGAGGTGCTTTTTAAACACTGAGTAAGTTTTAACCCATCTCCATTTACTTGATAAACTATGAGACCTGAGCTTCATTCCCTAGCTGCCATCTGCTAAAATGATGTGAAATCTGAACCACCTGGAGTCCCACTTAACCAACCCGTACTGCCTAGGTGGTGAAACGTAAAAAATACCCCACGATTGACAATGAGGGTAGAGTTCAGCAGTGGGTTAATGTACATTCGTATAAAAAAGCAGACTGACATGTTTAATGTACACTGCAAAAAGCCCTGCAACAATGCATCAGCAACATGCCTTCTGGCTAATCTGATACGTTGGCTTACTTCTGTATAGAGTATACAACCGTTGCTTTGTTTAAAAACACCCATTCTGAAAATGACTTCTATGTTCTCAATGCCTTTAAAGAAAGCAATGGCCTTGGTTGACACTCGACCATCAGCTTGGCTACTGCAAACCCCACGGAGTATCGATGTCATTACTCGCAAAAGAGGAGGTGCCCCTCATATCCAGGCAGCTCATTGGAGAGCCCAGGGACAACTCCCCTCCAACACCCATGCCACCCACGAACACTGCAGCAACTCCTGGCCACATTCTCCGTATCCTTCCATAGCATTTTTTCTACCAGAGAAGGCCCGCTGAGCGAGATGGATGATTTGGGAAAACCCGGAGAAGATTCCACGCGACTTCGGGGGGAGAGAGAGACAGACACGCAAACTGCAAAATATTCAGCAGTCTTCGTCAGGGTCGGGATCGAACCCACGTCCTCCTATATACTGGGCAAGGGAGTTACCATCTAGCCACCGTGGTGCCCCAACAATACACCACCTACCGTGCACACGACTGAGAAATATGCACGCGTGGAAAGAGAAACGCCCAGTGCTTATAATACTGCCATAAACAAGATACAAGACAACTCACAGGAGGAGCAATATGGAGCAACACAAACGAAACTCGCACGGTAACATTTCCCGAATAAGTGACGAACACGGGGTGGAAATTTGGAATTGATGTTTCTCTCCTGTTTGCATTTTATATATATAGGGAAAAGAGGGTACGATTTACTACGATCCGATTTACGACGGCGTTTCAGCTACGCGGTACGTCGTAAAAGCGGGGAGTACCTGTACCAAAGGGCATCTCGCTCACTCGAAACCTGCCATCAGCGAAACTCAAGAGTTCTGAAGATCCCTGTGGATCCCCGGGTAATCCCGCAGGGTTCTGAAGATCCCTGGATAAACCACGGATTCCCCTACAACCTGCACACCTACGCCAGAACAAAGACTTGGGGCAAGTGCCGTCAGCGAGCAGCACCGATGAAGGCCGACTACGGCACACGAGAGGGGGGGGGGGGTGTTGGGTGCCAGCACCGCGCTCGCCCGGCCGCCTTTGTCTCCCCTGTGGCGACGTTTTTCCGCACCGCACCGGGTACTCGCTTGAGGCCGAGTCGACCCTAAGGGGAGGGACCCTGGACCGGTTCAAATACTCGCTATCACCGGCGTTGGCCGTGAGCGGGAATCAAACTCGGGTGGCCGGGTTCGGAGCGGTCAGTGGTGACCGTTACACCACAGAACTCCCCACGCGGTGACCTTAGAAGCGCCTGTCGGTTAACTATTTGACTTCATAAGAGTTTTTTTCGGTTATATCGCGTAAATATAAATGTGTCGTTGAACCCGCCACAGCCAATTATTAAGGTTTGTCACGTAAACCGAACGTGGCAATTCGTTACTAGTGCAGCACACCCGCTGTGTTGGAGAGTCAAGCCACACAATGTCTATATTTACGCGATATAACCCAAAAAGCCCAACCCCCCGCTCTGTGTTATGGATGATATTGGTCTCGAGAGCCTACGTCGTGAAACCTGTCACACGGCAGCTTCTCCCTCCGCGGTGGCGTGGATGGGAAATTGCTGCCACCTAGTGGGGGTTCAAGAGGTCATCCACAATGGAAGTTTTTTTAATTGTTGGGATAGATCGCGTAAACGTGTGGTTAAAACCCGCCACCACCCGCCACAGGCAACTAGTAATGGTTGACACGTAAACAGAACGTACAAATGCGTTACATTTACAATAAAGAGGTCACTGATGTTTCAGAAGCTGTTGTTGTGTCCTGTGTTGTTGAACTTCCTTCGCACCGTACGTAGCCAACCGTGCAGTTTGTGCGATATCCTTCCGTGGCCCATTCTGCCAAACACTGAGTTGGTGTCCCGCAGTGGGAGAGTTCGAAATGCATTTTGCAAGTCATGGCAACATTTTTATAACATTTTTCTAACATTTTAATAAAATTGGATCGTAATGAAATTATTAAAAAAATTGCTTACACACATTCACGTATTTGTATTCTTGCAAACATTAAAAAGAAAATATTTAAAAGCACGAAATCACTGCCCCATTTCATTTTAAGCAATCTGTGATATTCTATTTATCGTCACACTGATTTGAACGAGTAGATTTAACAACACAAATGACTGCTCACGAATGGCGAGAAGGCACACAACTCCTAACGCACTCTTTGTTTCTTTCGGTAAAGTCACGTAGTTAGAAATACGAAAACTTTAAATCAAGATTGACTCCTAACGTGCCTGACATCCACGTTACGTGACCATCACATTTTGCATGTACAATGCTCTCAGTTTCGCCTCGGCCAACAGCTCTTAAGGGGCTGAACGTATAACCACATTATCGTTTAAGGCCACTAACAAACCAAAAAGATTTGTGGCCATCACAACAGGCCTCATTGCAGTCTGTGCTGCACACATTTGATTGTTGCAATTTGTTTTTTTTTGCCATACACAGAACGTGTCGGTTTAAAATTCTAAACAGATGTAATATTGCCTTGTAACTCGCGTGCATTGACTCTTCTTCACTCCTTCGTCTCTTGGCGAAGAACCTGTGAACCACACAGACACAGACAGACACACACACACACAGACACACACAGACACAAACACAGACACACACATAGACACACAGACACACACGCGCGCGCAGAAACGCATCGTCCATCAACCTGCCCCGACAAAGCGAAATGAACTCTCGCAGCAGTGAGAGAAGGGGGTTGTGGAATGATGATGCGTCAATTATTGTGTCCCCCCCCAGCAATATCGCTTCTTAAGCTCAAGACACGTGGCGCAATGGGTGTACGTTAACTCTGCGGCCACGAGAAACTCGACCAATGTCGAATCCAGCATACAGATACTGGACCGCGGTAATTCAATAACAAGACTGCCATCGTACAGGGAAACACATTCCTGCGGAGGGAGCTGGTAGGAACGTTGGGTTGCTCGGTCAATGGCCAGGGTCAACGGCACCACGTGGTGAATTCCGCAAATATGCCCGACTGTGAGGGCGGGCACAAGCCGACGTGAATAGGTTAAACGTTGAGTTTTATAAGGGCACCACGGGGTGACCAGCCCCTCCCTCCCCACCCAGCCCCACCCTTCCCACCCAGCCCCTTCCCACCCTCCCCTCTCCACCCAGCCCCACCCCTCCCATTTTTGGATGCACGATGGACGGACACAATAATCCCCTGTGGGCTGGTGTAACCAGGAGGTTCCTACCAGTATAATGACTGTGTAATGCATCCCGATGTTGTGTCTTTTACTCGTTTCGTGTAATGGCTGCAAAGTGACTCGAGCAGCCACTAGAGGCGCTATCACGCACTGCAATGTCGAGAAAGTCTGTTTATGAACTGCAACAATTCACTACATTCAGTTTAACACATAGGCTTTCGCGACCAATATCATCCATAATAGAGGTTTTGGGTTAGATCGCGTAAATATATAAATGTGTAGGGTGGTGGCGGGTTTTAACGACACATTTATATATTTACGCGATCTAACCCAAAAACCTCTATTATGAATTCACTCCATTGTTGGGCTAAAATCTTTTACCCCCGTGTAGAGATGCATTCATTACGAGAAGTGATGATTGGGCAGTGGTCAAGAATAATAAAGGCTTGGCAGCCAAGGAATGGAGCGCGTCCAATAGGGCGGTCCACTGAGGGAGATGGAGCAATGAATTTAGTTTGCGTGCAGCCTGAGGAGATATGCTGGGTTGGATTGTTGCATCTCAAGATCATGAGAGGTGGCGGCGGCTTCAGAAGGCCTTCATCCAGCAGTGGAGTGAGCATGACTGGTGACGATCACTAATGATGGTGATTGATGGCGATAACTGACAATAATTTTTCGTGTGCTCAGTTTGTTGTCCTACCGCCATTTCCGATCAGCACGGTTGGTTACATACGGTGCGAAGCAAGTTCAACATACATTATGGTAGTGACTGATTTTTGATGATGATGATGATGATTGTGATGATTAATACACGTCGGATGTCACGAGCGGAGGGGAGAGTGCGTACAGACTGCAAAGCCTTCTCCCTGAGTTCTGTGTCCGTCAGCAGTTGCTCATCATCGCTGCACCTCCCCTCGCTGTCGCTGCCGCTCACGAGTCTGGGCACAACGAGCAACACAGACGCGTCGTGAGGCGGCAACGAGCAGGCGACCTCCGGAATGACCTCTGGAAACCGCTCCGACGCACACGGCCAATATACGCTGGAGCTCACATTTTCCGCCGCACGGCAGTCGACCGTTATTTACGCGAATGGTGTGGCCGAAATACGCGAAGTACGCTTTTATTCAGTTCCCCGGTGCGTTGTCAGGTTGTGCCACGTGCCGCTCGGCATGACGTGCTGGGAGCGAAAGGTCGGACATCAGTCGAACACTACGCGGCACAACCTGCAAACAACACATCAGGGAGCTACACAGCACGGAAACCTGCGGAGTCGTACAATCCTAATTGTCGACGTGCCTAACATTATACCAACAAGTATCAACTTTAGTTTCGGGGAATAAGACTTCCCGACAGCAATCGCGCATGAATGTCAAATGCCAGTGGCTGTCATCAGACTTCACTAAATAGCTGATCGCTGTGCATTGTTTTTGTCGAAATCGGTTCATAAAAAGACAAAACGCAAGGTTACTGTGACACAATGCTGTCTCTCCACTTCCCCAGAAGAGCAACAACAAAACGTAAAAGGGCGAAGCCCACTGCGACGGAGATGTTTCTGTCTGTTAAACCACTGTTGTCGAGCACAAACCCCACAGATCCAAAACGCCAAGCAGCCGGCAAGAGATAAGAGTTAAAGCTCTGGAAATGAGTAAGGTTACAAGAAGTTGGGAAAGTAGATTAGGGAGAAAATCCCAAAGTCGTGCAGCACGCGGAAGCGTTTTTGTCAATGCGAGCGCATCCCTTACTTGGTGGATGGAAGCTCAAGGTCAAAGTTCGCAGCCTGGGTCGGTGGGGAGAGGCTGAGCAGTTGCCACGTGGAGCCACCTCGCTCCGACACCGCGTCTGCACCCTGCTGCAGGCATACGCCACGTCACAAGGACAACTCACGTGGCAGGCACTGGGCAGGAAAGGTGGCTGGACGGATGGTTGGTCAGATGTGTGGCTAGTTTAGTAGGCTATAGGGGGACCTTGCAAATGTTGTGGGTTTACTCTCCGGTGTGCTGAAGTAGCAACTAATTGGCGCGTTTTGTTTACGTGACAAATCTTACTAATTCCCTGTGTCCGGTGGTGGGCTAACGACACATTTATAGAGATGCAAGCTAATCCAAAAACTTTATTACGAATAATATTGCTAGCGAAAGCCTACGTGTTAAAACTAGTTGAGTAGGTGCCTGACTGAACAGCTGAATGGCTATGTGGCTGGCTAGGTGGGTAGCTGATTAGAAGATGATGTGGCTTCCTGACTGAGTGGGTGGCTGAGAGGTTGACTTGTTGGGTGGCTAGGCGGTTGACTGGCTGGCTGATTGGGTGGATAGGTGGTTAAGTGGCTGGGTATTTAGTTGGCTGGCTGATTGGAGAGCGGAATGACTGGTTGGCTGTGGAGACAGCTGGCTGGTTGGCTGTGTGACTATCTAGGTGGTTGGTTAGCTGATGGGATATAGCTAGGTGGCAGTTTGACTAGGCAGCTGAGTACCTGGCTGTGTAACTGGCTGAGTGGATCTATAATAACAGTTTGCAAAGCATGGCAACAAGTGGCAGTGATGAGACACAACAGGTGAAGACCCTCACTTGGTAGTGCTGATAAGCACGAGCTGTCAGTAGCTCGTTCGCTCGTTGCTCCACACGGCCAAGGGTGGTCATCACCACCTGCTCCAATAAGTCCTCGCCATGGCCAAAACATAGCCCAGCTGAGCCTTCAGACCCTCCAATGTGACTGAGAAGAGAACCGATCTCTGAGAAGAGACCGAGAGAGAGAGGTAGAACGTAACTTAACGAAATCAACGCACCGCTGAGCGATTCTGTGGCTTCGTGACAAATGTTTTCACTAAGTGAAAACATTTGTTTTAACCAGGTAAGGCCCACTGAGCTATATAGATTTTTTTTCAGAAGGGACCTGGCCACAAATGGTAGCTCACCGAAGTGGCTTATCATCACGTGAAGATCCTTCGCAGACAAATACTCTAAACGTGTGATGCAGATTCTAAATGTGTTGGGGAAAACCGGAGAAAAATCTACGCGACCACTGGGAAAGAGAGAGAGAGAGAGAGAACATGCAAACTCCAAATATAGAGCAGGCGTCAGACGTTCGGGATCGGACCCACGAGTCTTGTCGCACGCCGCCTACCGCTCTGCAGCTGGCTGCCCATTCTGCGCCGCCGCCGATTGTCGCCACTCAGCCGATCCGCCTCGCGGCTGGCGTCTCGCGCCCTCTCCTCCAGCAGGCGCGCCTCCTCCCCGAGCCGCGAGTCGCGCTCCGCATCGCTCCGCCGGCCGTCGTGCAGCTCGGTCATCAGCTGACGCGCGGGGGGGAGGGGAGGGGGCAAAGATCCACCCGCGTAGCCTTTCACAGACTGTTGGGACAAGTGCCCTCGGTGGGCGCCTACGGCTGCCGGAATGGCACACAAGGGTCACGGGGTGGCCAACGCACTGCTGATGTTTACACGCCGCACCGGGTAGAGTACTCATTTTAGGTTGAGTAGACCTAGGAGAGGCCCAGAACTGGTTCAAATATTCGCCGCTATTATTGGTTGTGAGCGGGAATCAAACTCGGGTCACCAAATTTGCAGCGCCATGTGTTGAGCTAACACAAAGACAAAGATCCCCTTAAAGACTTAAGAGACTGCTGGGGCAAGTGGTGTTAGCAAGTACCTATTGAGGCCAGACTTTGACGCAGATAACTGGTGTGCCTTCATAACCAGATGCGGTAGCAACATTTGTAGAAAACATCAGACCAAATATGCAACGCGAGATTCAGTCCACGTCTGTCCAAAGTGCGATATAAACGCTATGCAGCCAAGATTGGTCTCGTCAGTCATAATGCAAAAAACTATTTCACCTTCCGTTCTATCATCTTGGACTCGCCCGGCAGGCGGTCGTCATCGTCTCGATAGCCGTCCCTGAGGTCAGAGCAGGGCATCAGAGAGTGGTGTGACCAGCACCATGCCTGGCTGCCTTTGCTTACACCCACACTGAGGCGTCAGAACTGTGGCAGGCACTAAATTAAAGGCTGATTTGACCTACACCACTCGCCAATGAATTTGTCCGCGGCGTGGAATGAAATCCCGGTCACCTGAATCGCAAAAAATAATTGTGTGGACCAGTGCGCCACCGCTGCCCCTACGTCCTCAGCCATAGTGGCACGCCCAGTCCCACCTTGTGGATTTCACCGTTGAGCTGCTGGATGGCCGCACTCTGCTCAGAGACGTAGTTGTAGAGGGCGAAGTTATTTTCTTCCCCTGTGGAAAAAGAAGCATGGGATAATCCTTTGATCCAACGTTTCCTCCGTGACTGCTTGTCCACGTGTTTTTTGTGTGATCCGTGTGCCATTTCAGGTGATATCCCGCCAATTAACGACCTTTTTTTCTTCTTCTTCTTCTTCTTCTTCCTCATCGGTGCATTGCTCATCCACGCCGGGAGGCGCTGCACAAGGCCTCGCGCCCCTTGCCACTGAGACGTTTTGCTGCACAGCAGCGAAAAGTGACATTTGGAATTCTCACAGATGGAATTCAGCCGAATTTAGTGAGGAGGAAACCCCCAACATAACGTGTCAGGGTGTTTCTGTGTGCTGTGATTGGTGGACAAGCTGAGGCCATCAGCTCTGCACACTTGAGAATACGGACGCATGGCAGATTTTGAACTTCGGATGCTGGCTCAGGACTCCGTGTTCTTGTGTCATCATCAGTTCTGCCCAGTCAATATTAAACAGGGACAGTGAAGCGGGTAATTTAGTTGAGCCCCGAGCATGAACAGGTGTGTGTGTAGGTGTGGGGAGCGGTGGTGTAGCGGTTAGCGCGCTGCGCTATGAACCTGGCGACCCGGGTTCGATTCCCGCTCACGGCCAACACCAGTGACTATTATCTGAACCGGTCCCGGGCCTCCCCTAGGTCGACTCAGCCTCAAATGAGTACCTGGCGCGGTGTGTAAACATCGCCACTAGGGAGACAAAGGCGGTCGGGCGTGGTGTTGGCCACCCACCCCCTCGTGTACCGTTCCGGCCTTCATAGGTGCTCGCTAACAGCACTTGCCCCTACAGTCTGTTAAGGCTATATGGGGGATCTTTGTCTTTGTCTTTGTGTGTGTAGGCCTTCGTAGCTGCTCGCTAGCAGCACTTGCCCCTACAGTCTGTTAAGGCTACAAGGGGGATCTTTGTCTTTGTGTGTGTGTGGGGATTGGTGGTGTTGCCGTTAGCGCGCTGCGCTACGAACCCTGCAACCCCGAGATCGATTCCCGCTCAACGGCCAACACTGGTGACGATTATCTGAACCTCGCCTAGGTCGACTCAGCCTCAAACGAGTACCTGGTGCGGTGTGTAAACATCGCCACTGGGGAGACAAAGGCGGTCGGGCGTGGTGTTGGGTCACCCACCCCCTCGTGTGCCGTGCCGGCCTTCATAGGTGCTCCTCGCTAACAGCACTTGCCCGACAGTCTGTTAAGGCTCTACGGGGGGATCTTTGTGCGCGTGTGTGTGTGTGTGTTCACACAGTGCTGGCCTCACGCTCCATAAACTTGGAGTAGAAAAGTTCCCCATCCACCTCCTGCCCGCTCCGGTCGCCAGGGCCGCCGTCTTTCTCCAGGGAGCGCCGGATCTGAGAGATGTGAATACGCGCGCTGGAGCTCGGCAACATTTGGAGCCCCACGTCGACTTCCCACTCGGTAGACGCCAGGTATCGCTCTTCATCAACAAGCAGGAGTCGGCGTCGGCTGAGGTTATCGGCAAGGCCGGTAATGCCATCAAGGCGGTCCCCGCACCCCTCTTATTGTGCCTACTGAGTCCTGTGCCCCCAACTCACCTGAAGTTATACGGTACACAACACACACACACGCGGATATATACAGCAGTCAAGCACTCTGTGTGTCTGTGTACAGGCGATGTGCAGCCGGTTCAGGTAATCGTCACTGGTGTACAGGTGAATGTGCAGCTGTGTACAGGTGATGTGTACGGGTGATGTGTACGGGTAGGTACAGGTGTGCACGGTGTCTATGGGGGTGTATGGGTGATGTGTCCGGGAGATGTGTCCGGGTGATGTGTACGGGTGATGTGTACAGGTGATGTGTCCGGGTGATGTGTCCGGGTGATGTGTCCGGGTGATGTGTACGGGTGATGTGTACGGGTGATGTGTACGGGTGATGTGTACGGGTAATGTGTACGGGTGATGTGTACGGGTGATGTGTACGGGTGACGTGTACGGGTGATGATGTGTACGGGTGATGTGTACGGGTGATGTGTACGGGTGATGTGTACAGGTGATGTGTACGGGTGATGATGTGTACAGGTGATGTGTACGGGTGATGTGTACGGGTGATGTGTACGGGTGATGTGTACGGGTGATGTGTACAGGTGATGTGTACAGGTGATGATGTGTACAGGTGATGATGTGTACAGGTGATGTGTACAGGTGATGTGTACACGTGATGATGTGTACAGGTGATGTGTACAGGTGATGATGTGTACACGTGATGATGTGTACAGGTGATGATGTGTACAGGTGCGTGCGCGCGACGTGCGTGGCGTCCCCCCCCACCGCCTCGCGGATGCCCTCGCCATCGTCGAGCCCCAGCGCGAGGGCGAGGGTCGACATGCGGCGGTGCGTCCGGCGCGACCCCTCCGCCTCCGTGCCCGCCGACGCGTGCAGGAACGCCGGCAGGGCCACCGACCTGCGACGGCTCATCCCTGCGGCACAAACCGGTGGGCGGGGTGAGACGTTTCGGCAACGTGGCAGAGGGAGGACTCCCCGCGGCGCAAGAGAGAGGGAGAGAGAGAGAGCGTCGGTGGATTTCAGACTGATAGGAGCCAAGGCGCCCGTTTTCAAAAGCAGAGAGATATCGTGTGGTGGTTGTAGCGATGGTGCCGGTTGTTGTGGCGTTGGTGGTGGCATCACCCGCTTTGGCCATGGTGACAACTTGATCTTGGCGATCGTGTTGATGACCGTGGTGGTGGTGGTGGTTGCGGTTGCGATAATGTAACGGTGGCAGTGGTGTTGGTTGGAGTGAATTTAAAACATTAGCACCTCCCTTTGACGTGGTCTGATTCTTACATTACTTTAGAGTTCCTCTTAACCCGAATAAAAATTGAGATTGTACCCAGGAATGCATCACCAAGTGGGTTATATAAAAAAAAGTGTTCATCAAGAAACATTTAAAAACTTTCATTCTCGTCAGACCCCATGCACTCTCTGGCCTAGGTATTTATGTTTCATGGAAAAGGAAACATTTGGCGGTTCCGCAAAATGTTGTGGAGGTTCAAAACAAAAGGTCCGGGTGCTCGGGAAGATCACGATACAAATCCTGCCGCCGCTGTCCGTTTTTAGTGGTTTTATGGTTTGTTTTCGGTTTTAATTTTTTGGGGGATTTTTTCGGTTTTTAGTGTTTTTTGGGTTATTTAGAATTTCAGTGTTTTTTTAGTTTTTTAGATTTTCAGAGGTTTTGGGGTTTTTTTCGATTTGTAGTGTTTTTTTGGGTTTTTTCGGTTTTTAGTGTTTTTTTCGGTTTTTAGTTTTTTATTTTCAGTGGTTTTGGGGTTTTTTTCGGTTTTCAGTGGTTTTTGTGTATTTTCAATTTTTAGTCTTTTTGGGTTTTTTCGATTTGTAGTGTTTTTTAGGTTTTTTCGGTTTTTAGTGTTTTTGTGGGTTTTTTTCGGGGACCGGGGGGAGGCGGGAGGGGGGGGCACGTACCTGCCAGCTCCTGCAGCCGCCTGACATCGGCGTCGCTCAGCTCGGCGAGGCTGCCCTTGGCCACGCGCCCGCCTCTGGGGCTGCCGGTGCCGCCGCCGCCGCCGGGGGAGCCGTCGGCCTCCAGCAGCGCCGCGATCTGCTGAGACGCCGCATCGTACCTCGCCACCGCCTCCCGCTGCTCCTCCGAGCGCTTCTGTCTCGCCTCGTCTGCCGATGTAAAAGGAGACCGCCGTTCTTGACGATTTCAGAACGAGACAAAACTTGCGTCTCGGCGGTGAATGGGGTGCACGTCCACAGCGCGGCTTGTTCTGTCTGTCAATCCGCTGCCGGATGAGGGCCCCCCCCCACCCCCCCGCTTTGTGTGTCATGGGCAGGGGTCGGCGACCGAAAAACAACAATAAGATTATTTTTTGTTCGAATTCGGTCAAAAATAAAACCTCAATATTTCAAGAGCCGCAATGCACGTGGTGAATACGAGACAGTGGTCCTTGATGAGTAACGTGGCGAAGCAGCAGGGTCCGTAAGGAGCCGCGTGTTACCAACCCCTGCTCGTGGGGAATATTTAACATTTAACTGTACATCAGTTGGGGGGGGGGGAGGTAAAGACGGGGAGCATAGACATTGGTCCACGCTGCACGACAACAATTAATTTTGCTGCGCCGTAGCCTACGGCAACTGTTTTGCGCGTGGTGGTGGTGCTGTGGTAACGCTGACGACTCAAACTGCATGCATGTTGAGCTTCATTCGTGCCGTACGTAGCCAACCGTGCTAATCAGAGGTGCGGAGGAAGGACAACGAACTACACACATTGTTTTAAAGCTTTCGTGACTGCAGGGATTCATACTCTTGGTTCTTTCGGTAAAGTCACAGAGAAGATGATCGCTCGTGTTGCAGTCGAAACGTCGTGAGAATATTATTGTTTTATATTTGTATTATTTTATTGTTTCCCTTCTACGTGGTGACTTTACCGAAAGAACCAAGAATACACACATTGAGTCGGGGCCTGGGTTAGATTCCTGACTCGGGCCCCTTTTGCCTGCAGTGTTTGTATGTTTGTATGTTTGTAAGTTTGTATGTTTGTATGTTTGTAAGTTTGTATGTTTGTATGTTTATAAGTTCTCCCCGTGTTCCGCAAGAGTCTCCCCTGGGTTCTCCGGTTTCCTCCCATAGCTAAAAACATGCAACGTGATTAGTGCTGTACAGTATTGGCCAATGCAGGACCCCTCCTGCATTGGACCCAGTGTGGCTTTGCTGGATAAAAAGGTAATTATTATCTCAGCACCATCCAACACAATATAGCAGATCATTGTTTCATTATCCCGAGGTCTGGCGTGGAATGATGATGGGCGAAAATAATTCTGCATGTTATTTCAATTGGAATATTTTAAAACATTGAATCCAGTAAATTAGCAAATGTTGAGGTACCAAACTGGGGCTAGTAATAAGTCGCAAAAATAGTTAAAACACAAATAGGTATAAATACACATATATACATTATTACGTGCGTGTATGCGAATGCACATCGCCATACTCAATGAGAGTGCGGAGAATTGCCCAACTCCATCAGCAGTCTTGAGCCAGTGGTTAAAACTCCACGTTCCTAAGACGGGGACCAGCCCATTCATAAAACGACCAATATATGTTATTGACAAAGCGGCCACCCACTTCCGCTGACACAATGAATGACAGACGATGGGCCGAGTGGGCCCCCGAGCGGCGGGGATTTATCTCCGTGTGCCAGAGTGGCGATTGCAAAGGGGCCCCTGACCCAGCTTGCGCTGGCTGCGCTCGAGCTCATCTGGCGACACTCGGCGCTTGTCCTTCTCCAGCAGGAAGCGCTGCAGCCCGCCCTCGTGGTCGCTCGCCAGCCGCAGCTCGCGCATCTCCGCGTGGAACATCTCCACCTCCTTCTCGTTCTGCTCCCGCACGCGGCTCAGCTTGGCCTGCGCATCCTCCCTGCGCCGCGCGGTCAGAGCGAGGCGTTCCGTTAAAGCGCTCGAGGACAGCACCACCACTCCCGTACGTTTAAAACACTCGAGTACAACATTCCCTCGTTAATTCGCGAGGGATACGTTCCGGAGATGCTCGTGTGAATCGCACATTTCCGCGTACAACGACAGTGCAAGACTGGAGGCTGTTGAAGAGTTTTCAGCTACGTCTCCTTTTAAATAATGTCTGCCCTGTGCCCATCGTGATCCCCACCCAGGTCGTTGTCAGACAGAGCAAGGGGGTCGTGACTGATGGCTGCCTCACCTCGATTGGTGAGCTTCGCTGGCTGCCTCCATCGATGCTTTCATCTCCTTCTTCAGGTCCTTGAGCTCCTGCAGGTGACATGACAGCACAACCGTCGGTGTGGGCATTGTCTGAATTTGACCCTGGACCTGCCCGTACCTCGAATAAGATGAGTTTCAGATCAAAAATATTTTAAGGGTAATTCCGGATATTTTTTCAGATATTCGGATTGGTTAGATGATGGAATAATTTAAGGCATTCTCATGCTCACGAAAGTGACGTTACCTGACGTAATGTGGTGTCACTTTTGGCCAGAAAATAATGTAAGTGGAGGCACTGAAATGACGTATCTAGGACCGATTTTTTTTATATGAACATTAGGAAGACATCCCCCTAGCACCTCCATTTGGCCTAAAATGAGTGCTCAGCTTTATGAACGATGGCAAACTGCGCCACCGAGATGGGAAAGACAGATGGGCGTGAGTGCTGCACGCCCCACTCACTCCGCATGCCGGTGCGCTGACCCCAATAGGTCCTTGCTAACAACGGCTTCTGTAAAGCAGGCGTGTGAAATGACCCACGGTGCTGTATACGGCCCGCGTCTTCACGCCACATGGCCCCTGGCCCCATGAGAGGCCCTGCGCTTCGAAATGGCCCACAGACGGAGTGGTGTCCGTCGCTGCATCTTAGCCACGTGTCTGCCGCGGAACTGCGACCCAAACACCAACGCCTTCGCGAGACCAGGGCACGAGCAGGCGGTTTCGTTCGTGCCCGCGTAAAAGTGAGCCGCGATTTTCTTTCTGGTTCTTAATTGTACGTGTGTGCGTGCACGTGGAATTCCTTTCGCACCATACGTAGCCAATCGTGCTGATGGGAAGTGGACACCGCTGAGGCGTACGTGTGATTGCGTGTTCCAGTCCAACTCGATCCTCGATAAGGAGAAGGTTCCCACGTAGAGTTTATATTATTCTATTTCCGGTTCTGTTTTGGTTATATTATTCCCCGTCTCTCCCTCCCCCTTCTTCCATGATTCTTCCCCTCCCCCATAAATAGCCCCCTCCCGATTGTTACCCTGACCGCGGTACGGCAGTGAGCTCGGATGTCCTCTGGCTGGTCCCTAATTTTGAGGGTGCATCACTCCGGGTTTGGTACACGCTGGCCATCGAACAAAGACGCTCACTGCATTGCGCGCTTTCAGATGCGCTTCCGCGGCTGTCTGGAACGCTCTTCCCTTCGATATTTGGAAGCCACTGGAGCTATGTACTTTTAAATCCAGATTGAAAATTAATTTCTTTAGAACTGCTTTTTGTGTTTAGTATGTTGTCCTCCCCCCCCCACCCCCCACCTCCGATTAACACGGCTGGCTACGTACGGTGCAAAATAAGTTGAACATACATACATACAGAAACCCGCAGATACCCCCAGACCCATAGAGACACCAATAGACCCATAGAGACTCACAGAGACCCACAGATTAGCACGGTTGGCACGGTTGGCTACGTACAGTGAGAAAGAAGTTCTAAATTCCTCCCCTTTGGAATCTACTTTGTATTCTGGTTTTCTTGGATTACAATAAAACATTTTTTACAACAAAACATTTTTTCCCCACCACCCCCCCCCGCTGCAAATATATAAACGGGGGGGCAACCGGTGAAGAAGCGGGCCACCTTGTCAAGTTTGCTGTGGACGACGAGGAACTTGTCGCGCTCGCAACGCAGGGTGTCGATGTCCCCTCGCAGTCGCCCATTCTCTGTCAGCTGCTCACCCAGCTTGGTATTCGTCTGCCCACACGGACAAAAAAAGATTCCGCCGCCCCACATTCCGCCCCATGTGGTCGCACACATCAGAGAGGGCAAGTGCTGTCAGCGAGCACCTTCAAAGCCCGCGGCGATTGGTCAGCGCCACGCCCCCCGGCCGCCTTTGTCTCCCCAGTGCTGACGTTTACGCACCGCACCGGGTACCCATTTGACGCTAAGTCGACCTAGGGGAGGCTCGGGACCGGTTCAAATAATCGTCAATGGTGTTGGCTGTGAGCGGGCATCGAACTTGCGTCACTGGGTGTACGTAATGCAGTGCGTTAACCACTGTGCCACCGTTCTTTCACTTGCCCGCTCAAGGCTAACACATATATACGTGCACACATACGGCTGTGGACAAGCAGGCAGATAAACAAGTAAAAGTGATTTGTTTCCCTTACACACGTGGCACCTCTCTAGCACACATCATCCACCCACCATTACATAAAACTGTTTGTATTTTACCAGGTAAGGCCCACTGAGATATGTAGCTTTTGTTCAGAAGCGACCTGGCCATCACAAATGATAGCTCAGCGAAGTGCCTCATCGTTATGTGGAGTTTATAGCAGCCAAATACTCTAAACGTGTGATGTTTCTAAATGCGCAGGGAAAAACCGGAGGATTCGGAGAAAAATCCAAACTCCAAATATACAGCAGCCGTCAAGGTAATTCATATTCATGAACATAAAACTAGACATATTCTTAGTTTTTTCGGTAAAGTCACGTTGAAGAGAAACAACAAAATAACAAAATATATATAAAACAATAAAAAATTCTCACGACGTTTCGACCATAACTCAAACGGTCATCATCAGGTGTGTCGGTTTGCATAAATTTATTTTGAAAACGGCATATTTATTTATATATATAAAAATAACGTTTGCGTCACGCGCAACGATGGCAGTTTGCCAGGACTAGTCCATCTATTTTTTGAAAAGAGGAGGGGGGAGACGAAATTTGTTTTTATGTATGCTGTCTGAAAGGCACTGTAAGCGTGAACAATCAATCAAGAACTGAAATGATTTATCAAATCTTTCCAATGATTGCTAAGATAGAATCCATCTTCTCGGTTGAAATTGTCTCTGTGTTTGTATATGTGGATAGCCTCATGAACGAATCTCTCATGGAAGCCAGATGGCTTACAAAGAACCTCCGTCTTGGAAAAGTCAATGGCATGTGAGCCTACTGAATTAGAACAATGATCTGCTACGGCCGAGGTGTTGGTCCTACCGTGTTTAAGGTCTGCTTTATGTTCACGAATGCGGTCCGAGATATGGCGTTTGGTTTCTCCAATGTAACTACTACCACAGAGGCAACTTAGTTTGTAGACACCAGGGTATTGTATGTCCGGAATCACATCTTTTACAGACGGAACCAGATCACGGATTTTATGTAATGTGTTGAAACGGACCTGGATCTTGTGTTTATTCAAGATTTTGGAGATCTTTTTTGTGATCCCAGCAATGTAGGGTAAAGTGATGGTTTTGAAAGGCTCCTCAAGAGGGTTCTTCTTCATGGTTTGAGTGATAGCTTTGCGGATTGTATAGTCGGAGTAACCATTAGCCCTAAGAGCTTGGTGTACGTGCTTGAGTTCACTGCTTATGTGTTCCTGGTCGGATATGCATTGGGCTCTATGATACAGAGTCTTGATGAGAGAATTCTTCTGTGATGGATGGTGGTGGGAATCCGGTTTCAGATAAGCATCCGTATGGGTAGCTTTCCTGTAGACAGAGTGGCTCATTGAACCATCAGGTCTCTTTTTAATTAGAACATCCAAAAAAGGTATCTTGCCATCTATTTCGACTTCCATGGTAAATCTGATGGCTGGGTGTATGGAATTGATGTGGTCGAAGAATTTGTCTAGAGCAGGCCGGCCATGTGGCCAGATGACAAAAGTGTCATCCACGTACCTCTTCCATAAGGTTGGGCGCAGAGTGGCAGTCTGGATGGCGTCAGTCTCAAATTTCTCCATGAAAATGTTAGCTATAACTGGAGAAAGGGGGGAGCCCATTGGGGTGCCCTCAGTTTGTTTGTAGAAAGTTCCATTCCAAGTGAAGTATGTATTGGTTAAACAGTGTCTCACCAGGGGGGGTACCTCAGTGTTTAGTCCTTGATGAACCAAGTCTTCAATGATTGCAATGGTGTCAGGTACAGGAACCTTGGTGAATAAGGAAACTACATCAAAACTGACAAGCAGGTCGTCTGGGGACAGGGAAATCCCCTTGATTGTTGATACCAGGTGAGTAGAATTTTGTACCGCAGAGGTGGTCTTTCCAGTGAAAGGACGCAGGATTTCAGACAAAAAACGAGCTAGTTTGTAGGTGGGGGAGCTGATAGTAGAGACTATGGGACGAAGAGGTGTATCAACTTTATGTATTTTTGGTAAGCCGTATAATCTTGGTGGCCTGGCAGCAGAAGGTTTCAACGAAAACTGTTTAGATTGATCAATTAATGCGGTTGAATCAGAAATTATTTTGTTGGTTTGTGTGACGAGGCTGTTGGTGGGATCTCTTTTTATTTTTGTATAACTACCATCGTCGAGTAATTCTTTAATTTTGTTGTTGTATTCTATTTTATCCATGATAACAGTAGCATTGCCTTTGTCAGCTGAGAGAACTACAATATCATTCCTCTTTTTTAATTTATATAATTCAAAACGCTCATCTTTGCTGAGGTTGCTAGCTGGCATCTTAGCGTTTTTGAGGGTTGCAGCGATTTCAGATCTTGCTACGTCTGCAGCGATGTGACCCAGGCCCCTGAGAGCAACGTCTACTTGGGCAATTATATCATTAACTGGTATGTGTTTAGGTGTGACTGCAAAGTTTAGACCTTTAGCTAAAACGGATTTCAGACCATCGGAAATAGAACTGTTACTGCGATTAATTACGACTTTATTAACGTCTAACTTTTTGGTGTGTGGGTCCGGTCTTTTGTTTAAGAGGAGGTTAAATTTGGAAATCAGGTTTTCCTTACATTTGGTCGACATAGTAGCAGCTGAAGAGGCAGTCATATTGTCTACATGTTCCCAATCCGATGTGGACATTATTGCCGTCAATGATAAGTGTGATTTGTAGAGTGTCTTGTCTAACTGATCTAGTTCTGTGCGTATAAGTCTGATTTTTTCTGAGATAAGAGCTAAGCTAGTTTTGAAAAGAATTCGTTTCGCATTTGAAGAAGTTACAGTAGCAGAGGTGAGTGTAAATGCGATTGGTATTACCCCAGAGTCGCGGCATCTCTTCAGGAAGGTGAGAGACTCGATCAGCTGAGCTTTCTTATCCCGGAGTTTGTTGAAAGATCTTAAAGTTATGTGAAAACCCTCCCCGTAGAGGCGATTAAATTTTGATTTAAAGCTTTCGTGACTGCAGTAATTCATATTCTTAGTTTTTTCGGTAAAGTCACGTTGAAGAGAAACAACAAAATAACAAAATATATATAAAACAATAAAAAAAATTCTCACGACGTTTCGACCATAACTCAAACGGTCATCATCAGGTGTGTCGGTTTGCATAAATTTATTTTGAAAACGGCATATTTATTTATATATATAAAAATAACGTTTGCGTCACGCGCAACGATGGCAGTTTGCCAGGACTAGTCCATCTATTTTTTGAAAAGAGGGGGGAGACGAAATTTGTTTTTATGTATGCTGTCTGAAAGGCACTGTAAGCGTGAACAATCAATCAAGAACTGAAATGATTTATCAAATCTTTCCAATGATTGCTAAGATAGAATCCATCTTCTCGGTTGAAATTGTCTCTGTGTTTGTATATGTGGATAGCCTCATGAACGAATCTCTCATGGAAGCCAGATGGCTTACAAAGAACCTCCGTCTTGGAAAAGTCAATGGCATGTGAGCCTACTGAATTAGAACAATGATCTGCTACGGCCGAGGTGTTGGTCCTACCGTGTTTAAGGTCTGCTTTATGTTCACGAATGCGGTCCGAGATATGGCGTTTGGTTTCTCCAATGTAACTACTACCACAGAGGCAACTTAGTTTGTAGACACCAGGGTATTGTATGTCCGGAATCACATCTTTTACAGACGGAACCAGATCACGGATTTTATGTAATGTGTTGAAACGGACCTGGATCTTGTGTTTATTCAAGATTTTGGAGATCTTTTTTGTGATCCCAGCAATGTAGGGTAAAGTGATGGTTTTGAAAGGCTCCTCAAGAGGGTTCTTCTTCATGGTTTGAGTGATAGCTTTGCGGATTGTATAGTCGGAGTAACCATTAGCCCTAAGAGCTTGGTGTACGTGCTTGAGTTCACTGCTTATGTGTTCCTGGTCGGATATGCATTGGGCTCTATGATACAGAGTCTTGATGAGAGAATTCTTCTGTGATGGATGGTGGTGGGAATCCGGTTTCAGATAAGCATCCGTATGGGTAGCTTTCCTGTAGACAGAGTGGCTCATTGAACCATCAGGTCTCTTTTTAATTAGGACATCCAAAAAAGGTATCTTGCCATCTATTTCGACTTCCATGGTAAATCTGATGGCTGGGTGTATGGAATTGATGTGGTCGAAGAATTTGTCTAGAGCAGGCCGGCCATGTGGCCAGATGACAAAAGTGTCATCCACGTACCTCTTCCATAAGGTTGGGCGCAGAGTGGCAGTCTGGATGGCGTCAGTCTCAAATTTCTCCATGAAAATGTTAGCTATAACTGGAGAAAGGAGGGAGCCCATTGGGGTGCCCTCAGTTTGTTTGTAGAAAGTTCCATTCCAAGTGAAGTATGTATTGGTTAAACAGTGTCTCACCAGGGGGGGTACCTCAGTGTTTAGTCCTTGATGAACCAAGTCTTCAATGATTGCAATGGTGTCAGGTACAGGAACCTTGGTGAATAAGGAAACTACATCAAAACTGACAAGCAGGTCGTCTGGGGACAGGGAAATCCCCTTGATTGTTGATACCAGGTGAGTAGAATTTTGTACCGCAGAGGTGGTCTTTCCAGTGAAAGGACGCAGGATTTCAGACAAAAAACGAGC